TGTGTGTGTGTGTGTGTGTGTGTGTGTGTGCGTGTGCATATAATCCTGCCTTTATTATTTTTATAAATAACTCAAGGCAGCTAACATACCTATTCCTCCTTCTATTTTCCCCACAACAACAACCCTGTGAGGTGAGCCGGGCTGAGACAGAGAGTGACTGGCCTAAAGTCACCCAGCTGGCTTTCATGCCAAAGGCAGGACTAGAACTCAGAGTCTCCTAGTTTCTAACCTGGAGCCTTAACCACTAGACCAAACTAGACTTCCTGCTGTGTCAACATTAATTAATGGCACTAACCAGCAATAAGGAATGAATGAACTCTCTATTCAATCTGTCCAATTTAATTCATGTTAAATCTGTCCAAACCACTATTCAGTAAGCTTGTTAAGTCTGTTATTTAGATGGTGTTTCTTAATACACCATCTAAATAACTCTTAGTTTTACACAATGGTGTGTGTGTTTGTGTGTGTACAGACAGAGAGAGGGAGAGAGAACCTACAAACTAATGTTAGAAAATGGTCATTACCCAGGAAGATCTGACATCTTGGTCCCAAATGATGGCACAACGGACTGCACTATGCCTTACTCCATCTCTTTACAATGGAGGATAAACCGTAATTCAGCCCTCTTTTCTTTTCTCTTTTTAAAATCACATTGCAATCCTCCTGCGCACAGCGTAAGCGCTCAGAAGTAACTTAAGTTACATTCCATTGGATTCCCTCCAACGCGCAGGGCTGCTGGCCGCCGTAAGGAAGCCCGAGAGAATTCCAGTTCACCTTGTCTCGCTTAGAAAGGAAACTGATCGTGGCTCCCGAGAAGAGGTCCTTAGGGATGCCTCTGTACAAAACCCCGTCCTTCCAACGAATGAAAGACCTGCCTGTTCCAGGGATTTAACCGGTTGACTTCGGCGATCAACCACCAGCTCCATCTTCATCTCCCCCACAAGTCCCCCCTCAAATATGCGTAAGGACTAGATCGATCTTCCTTCTTCCATCACGATTTTCGCTCCAACTGCCAGGCCAGTTAAATTAGGTCAAGTGCCAAGGCTAAGATCCAGGAGCCGGCAACGACTCTCCCTGGGTGCTTCGGGGAAAGCGATCCCTACATGCCCACCTCGCTCCCCGGTCCCCCTTCCCGCCGCGCCCCGATGCCCGCTCTCCCTGCCTGCAGGAATGCGTTTGTCACAGCCTGAACCCCGCCGCTTTGCAAGCCGATGGAGCTGCTCTCCCAGACCCAGTCCAGATACCGGAGAATCTTCCTAGCGAAGGTAGAAAACCTTGAGGCTGCGGAGGGAAGGTGAGGGATTCAGCCCCCTTGGTGCACACAAAGAAACAACTGTCGGTGTCCCCCTTCTTGGCTACGGGCAGGTAAGGACTTACCTTATGAGATTCTGCAAGCCCTGTTTGCTGGAATTCCGCCTCAAGATCGCACTGGTCATGGTGAGCGAAAATGAATGCGGGGCAGGGTCGGAACTCCTGCCTGCGAAGCCGCCTTCTTCTCTGCCCACCCCCACCCCCCACCCCCGCTTTTAATCGTCTTGTTAGTTACTGTGCACTGGCTTGTTCCCTCTCTTTCTCTCGCCCCCTCCCCTGCCTCACTCTTTTTCCCCCTGTTCAGGAAGTTCTGCAGCTGGTTTCCTTTTGTTTCTCTAAGCCCGCTATCCCACTCGCGCTCTAACACGCCCCCTCTTCCACCTCGGCGCCCTCCTTCTCAGACTAGAAGAAACGTCAAGGAAAAGAAGGATCTTTTGGAAAGCTGGCGAGAGACGGAGAGAAAGAAACCCTTTGCTCCCATCTGATCGCTAAAAAAGCTCACCATGAAGTTAAAATTCTGCCCTGGACAAAGATACATACATTTCCTTCTTTCCTGTCCAAATCCAAAGTTTACTTGTTAAGAATATAAAGCCAGAGCAAAGGCAGTTCCTATTAAGAGCAGAACCAACCAGTATCTAAAGATGAAGTTCTGCAGAGTTCTTCAAACACATGGATGTAATCCTGTCTGATTCCATCGATATCACTGAAGCTTTGGCCAAAATTACACCTAACAAAAAACTATTCCAGCCTGACTCAAGGCAATACAACTGAAATTGGGACTGTTGAGCAGTGTTCTCTAATTTCTACAGAGAAGGCACTTCTGTGCAGGATTTAAAGGCTCACCCTGTCTGTGAATTAACATATGTGTGCATATGCAGAATGGATGCGCTCCATATCCGCACAGCCACTGCTCGCTGTGGATTTCCAAAGTATGTGCAGTGAAACCCCCATTTGTATGATTGTCCTATAGGAAACAGCTAGAGGAATCAAGTTGTTTATTTGTGAGATGGGATAAACTCCCTCATTATGTGATAAAAAGTTAATAGAGAATATTTTTTTAAAAATGCAACCTTCCCATAGAGTTAATTTGATGGCTAGAAGAAGATTTGATCTTCACAAATATTTGCTGAGGATGTAGTAGAATGAATGGCACTTCCAATTTTAGTTTTGTAGCAGCACACATTAATGACCATCTGCAAACTTGGGCTATGCCACCAACTACCTCTCAGTCCAAGAATGACAAATAAGGCCAGCCACATGCCAAGGTATGTTTGTGCATTTGAAGAAGGATATTGCATCAAATCTAGTAATCCATCATTTTCCATGGCTTTGTTAACATCCCAAAAACTTGCAATTCTTTAACTAATAATTTCATCAACCAATTTCCTTGGTTTGCATGACACTCTTAACCATGAGCTGAGCTCAAGCACCATACCAGGCCAAAATGTAGTGGGCTAGTTTTTGTCTCAATATGTCAGTTTATCCTTTGGAAATAAAGGATTCTTCTAGATTTGAGTAGGGCAGAAAAGCAGGCTAAGTGCATGTTTTGCAAAGGGTTAACAGTCCTTTCCTCATTCCTTAGAACTGGAGCAAAAATTATCCTTATTCTCAAACAGAATGTTCAGGTTTCTCAGCAAATAAAACCCAGATTTGCTTTCAAAATATAGCTTAAAGCAATTTCACTGGCTTCAAAAGGCTTGCCCTGGAGTTATCCCTTTAAAGGCTGAAACCAGAGTGTCAAGCCATCACCAGCAAAGATGGGAATGAAATGAAACTATGGTCCAACAGTCACCATGCTCTTATTATAGACTGGTATGCAGCAGAACTCATAGCAAACTGAGGAGGGGCAGAGAGGAATGTGAAAAGCTGACTTTAGTGACAAGAAAAAGTATTGAAACATGGCATGGTCATAGGAAGCATGGTAAGTCTGGGGCAGGAGAAGAACACTGAGTTCAGTTGTCCTTATCAAAAGGATAGCACAGACTATACTAGCATCACAATGGCCACATTGAGGAGCAGAAGGCCATATATAGAAATCCTGGTCAATGTGGCCTTCAGAGATTGGGGCTGTGTTCACACAACACTCTAACCCACAACTGAACAAAACTGAGTAGGCTCATCCAACCATAAACTAACCACATTGGTTTGGAATCATACAAATAAGTCAACCACATTTTAACAGTGTGTTGTAAAATGTATTGTAGGAATTTATCCATTTCTACCTGAGCAGTAGTAAAAATACAGAAGTACTTCTTTCAATGACCCCCCAACTCTAACACTGCCCCCCTTCTCAATTTATAGACAGCTTATGAGCCTAAATACCCAATGGCTTTTCCCAACACATCTATTTCCTAAGCTTATAGAACATTTAAGATCAAGGAGAAGTCAATGGACTGTCTCTTGGGAAAGAGAGTTGACAGTGAAGGTAAATGGAGGAAGAGAAAAGATTAGATACTTATTCAGATACTCTGAATTAAAGTCATTCAGAAGAGAACATAATGGAATCAGTGGAATCATTTATTCCATAAACGGTAAGATACACATGAGCCCACTTAAAAAATTATTTTCACCTTTCTCCTTCTTTCTCACTTACATGCAGAGTACGACTTCCAGTCCAGACCTTTTGCTCCCTATTTCAGCTCAGATTATACTCTTCTGTGTGTTCTCTCACCTCTTGTATGTCTCTTCAGAAATAAAAGACTTAGCCCAACGTAAGACAAGCATCCAGGATGGCCTTCCTCATCCTAGTCCCCTCTGGAGGTGCTAGATTAAACCTCCTATAACTCTTATACAGCACAGTCAGGGCAGCTCGATAACAATGAGGTCTAATACATCAGCTTAGGATGAGGTAGGGAAAAACTAGCCTGGAAAATCAGGGCAATGAGGTGATTGCCTGTCGTCCCTAAGGGAGAGGAATATTACACCAACAGCAACAATTACTGCCATAAAACCCCTCACTGTGCTACAGCTGAAGCAAAAATGAGGCCTAATCTGCTGCATACCACCAACTCCTGACTACCAAGAGAAGATTGCCTCTTATTCACTTAGTCAGCCTGGCAGCACCAAGAAAAGTAGAAGTAAAGAGGGATAATTCAAAGTGGCTCCGCATTAGGCAGGATGGGCTGATATTTTATGGGCAGGTAACAATAGCAAAGGGAAAGCTATATGTGTTCCATATAGCCTACCTTGCGATCTCTAAGCTGCTCTGAGGTATGTTAAAAGTAGATAGTATTAGAACAAGATCTGACAACTAGTCTGGCCAGCTTTTGTACAATGGGAGATGGGCACCATCTTGGGGTATTGTTTGTTTGTTCAGGTAGCAAAATATCTTGGCCCAGCCTTGGTTATGGCTGACCCTCTATTGATACCATTCCTTATGGCAAAGGTAAACAGGGATCCTTCTTCTGTCATTCTCTCCATCTTTATGGTGGAAGAAGCAAAAGACAGACATGGTTCTGTCCTCTCCCTGTACGTGCAAGCAGAAATGGGGATAGACCATTGGGATGGCTTAACAGCAGAAAAAAATAAATATCCACTGCAGATGCCCTGCAAAATAAAACATCTTTCAGTTGCTACAGGAAACTTTAATGTACTGTAAGACATGAGTAAATGAACATTGGGGAGGGGGACTCTGCACAGTAACCCCTCCAGTGAAAATGCAGCCAAACTGAGAAGACACCCAGGGAGTTACTCATCTGCTCGCCACAAAAAAGGAAGAGTTTCAAGGTAAGAGAAACTTCAAGAGAGGAAGTGAATCAGGCTTTGTGGTGGGAGGGAGAGAGTCCCCAAGAGTGAAAGGCACACCAGCCTCCATCAATTACACAATCCTTTTGCTATGTGGGGGTGGTTGCAAAATCATCAGAAAGCTAAAACATGTTTGGCAAGAAGACTAAAGTATCTAAGCGAAACTCACCACTAGCTCAGCCTTTTCTCAGGAACAACCCACATGTATGGGTTCCAGTCAATGGGATAGACCTATTAAAACAACATGGGGGGGGGGGTTGCTATGAGCTTTTGGGAAAAAAACTGAGCAAGACACTCCCTATGTTTGCTAAAATACAGAACAGGAGAGATCAACTAGAAGAAAGTTTCTTTTTTCTTTTTTCTTAGGGCAACTAGGTAAACAAGACCTCAAGCTCTGATTTAAAAGTTGTTTTTTCTTCTTCTCTGTGCATATAGACTCTCTTGCAAATTGTTATTTTACCCTGGGTGTTTTACTGTGTTATGCACTGTTGCAAGCCATGGTGAGTCTAACAGATTTGGTGGCATACAGCTAACAGAAAGAAAGAAAGAAAGAAAGAAAGAAAGAAAGAAAGAAAGAAAGAAAGAAAGAA